CACCACAGTCGAAAGGCGAAAAAATTCGACGGCTGTCAGAACAAATTCGACAGCCTCCATTCGACAGTTTGCCCCCTTTTAGCCACACAGCACTGTAGAGTGCACACACTTGTGAATGCAAGATGGAAAATTAGAACGGGCCAGAGGGTACGACAAGCATTAGTCCATCCCGACCTTACCCACCCTCACCGAATTTCAAAGAGAAGCCGACCGCGCAGCCGAGGATTGTCGAAAGCATGGGAGTAGCAGGCTGGGGATTCAACAACTTTCGACAGGAGCTGTCGAGAAGCATGCTCTGACAACTGGAGAATTTTTTCCCGTCTCCGACTTCGACAGGATGTGTGGCGAAGAGAAACTGTCGAAAATTGCATTTTGAGGCTCGCCACACAGGCTGTCGAATTTCGAATCGAAAATTGCATTTTGAGGCTCGCCACACAGGCTGTCGAATGTCGAAAATTTTCGACAGGTGTCAGTAATTTTTGGACAGCCCGGCGCTCAACAATTTCGCCACACAGCCTGTCGAGCGGCGAAATTGTCAAAAGTAGGCAAATCGACACCGCCTTTCGACAGGTGCTGTGTGGCGAAGACGGTGGACTGTCAGGAGTTGTTACATATATGAATTTGTCCACACAACCGGACCAGATGCAGACACCGTTTTCGACAGCCACTGTAGACTACATACGGACAAACAGGCCACGGCTGTCAGGGAGCAGTCTCTGCCAACGCAAATTCGAACGCAATTTTCGAAAGCCCGACGGGGCACTGTCGAATTTCCGTCACCTGCAGGCGGGAGGAAACGGTTGTCGGAGGGCGGCTGTCGAAAGGACCATTCTGACACCTGTCGAAAGTTTTTTGAGCCGCAATTCTTCGAAAGTCTGTGTGGCTATGCAAAATTGTCGAAAAGCCGGTTTTCGATAGCCTGTGTGGCGAGCCTCTAAGGTAGTTGCACTACTCGTCATCCGCCACAAGTGGGTGGAGAATCGTGTCGAACTGGAGGCCTGGTTGCACTTACTCGCCACAATATTTCTTTTATAGAAAAGTTAAACCACCAGTACTTGGCCCAGCTATCCAGTCTGGGCCTCGGCCAACCGGTCGTGCCGAGGCTTGAACTACCGGTTCTGTGGTTCCCAGGCCTAGCCGGAGAAGAAAACGAGAAGAACCAAGGAAAAAGAGAAAAAACAAAAAAAGTAGTAGGAAACACTAGTTTTAGTTATTAGGCTAGAGCTTACCATACGACTAGATTTGAATAAGACAGGTAAACATTGTATCAGTATAGGCTAAGTCCCAGAGTCCCAGAGTCTTTAAAGTAGGTAATGTGAAATGGAATGTAATGCAAGCCAGGGTTGATAAAACAACCGGCTTTAAGTTAAACCGACTGATGCTGTCGGGATAACTCCGGGTTGAATTGTGAGGTCCCCGGCCTCAAATCCTTCTTTTATAATGAGATCGGAATTAACAAAAAAAAAAAAAAAAAAAAAAAAAAAAAAAAAAAAAAAAAAAAAAAAAAAAAAAAAAAAA